AGGTTAGTGGGAGACTGTGGGAGTGAAAGGAAGGCCTCAGTGACCTTGATTTCTATTTTTGGTTCTTTGTTACATTTGATTGGTGCATCTTCCAAAATTGTCATTAATAATAATAATAATAATAATAATAATAATAAAGCTTTATTTATATATCACTTTTCATACAACACATGCAGCTCAAAGTGCTTTACAAAATGACACATCACAAGTTAAAAACAAACAAGAGATTCCCCTCAGATTATTTTCTAAGAACTTTACATGCGGAAAAATATAACATTTTATCAGGTTAATCGACACAAGGAGGTAAAATGTATGATAATACAAATAAAATAAAATAAATAATGGTTTCTCTGACGGATAAGACACAAGACAACTGAATCGATGCAACAATATCAAGTGAACATATAGGTACAACAGAAATAAAAATAAAATGGTAATAAAAATGCCATAATTCTAATAAAGGTTAAACGATTAAGAAATAACAAAGACCAACGTAAAAATAAATATTCCTATTGAAGCATGTTAGATTGATAAAATAAGATAAAATATATCAAACATTTTTGATTTGTTCTCCACAGTACTATATGGAGCTGACGTTCACTCAGGCGGCAAAGGGAGTGAACAAGGAGTTTTCTGTTAACATCGAAGCAGCCTGCCAGCGCTGTGACGGTAAGGGCCACGAGCCAGGCACCAAAGTCCAGCACTGCAACCACTGCAACGGCTCCGGCATGGTAAGAGCTCCGACACTCTCCCTTCCCTCAGGGTTTGTCTGTGTTGTTTTACTAAACACGTGTATTGTCCGCCCTGCAGGAGACCGTGAACACAGGTCCGTTTGTGATGCGCTCCACATGTCGTCGTTGTGGAGGCAAAGGCACGGTCATCTCCACCCCGTGTAACACCTGTCGTGGGGTGGGACAGACCAAGCAGAAGAAGACTGTGACGGTTCCTGTGCCTGCAGGTCCGTGTTTCACACTGTAAATACCAGCTTCACTGCTGAACATAATTCATGATTTGAATGCCTGTCATACTTATTTCTGGCATGCTTTTAAAATTCACAATGGCAGAATTGGAAGATGTATATCATTCCTATAGGGCTTCATACTTAAAAGATAGATTCCTACAAATAACTTGTCTGTAATGTATATCTTGTATCCAATCTAACTGTTTTATTTTGGCTTCAAGGAGTGGAGGATGGTCAGACAGTCAGAATGCCAGTTGGTAAGAAGGAGATCTTCATCACATTCAGAGTGAGTATATATCTGCATCATCTTTTCAAACACACAGTATTCATAGTAGTCTTCCTTCTCCGGCTTCCTTAAGGCTAGCAGAGCAGCGTTAGTGAGAACAAAGCAGTGAAACTAATAAATAAAGTGTTATTTTCTCATAGTTTCATTGTGGTCACATTTTAAATCACACATGTACACACCCATACCTCTGCGGTAAAGTGCCTCGCCACCATATTTTAAATGAAAGCAGACAAATGACACACTTCATCCTGTCCATGATGACATCTGCTTTGTGTGTGTGGCTCACACCCCCCCCCCCTGAATCTGCTCATTGCTTTTTTAGGAGATGCTGCATGTCACACCTGCAATATCAGTATTGATCCCAGAGCAAACAAACCGAGATCAGAAGTAAATCCACTCTTAATCCAAGTGGTCATCAGAGCTGCTATAATGGTGTCTTGTATGATGTACTGGAGGTGTGTGGGTTTAGTACGAGGCATTGAGCTGTCTGAGCTCTTTGAATTAGAATAAGCTCGGTTCAGACAACCTGTGGTGTACTGCTTCCTGAGATTGTGATGACTTGATACCCCGTGTGATTGGTTGTGACGTGTTCTGGGTTGGTTTTCAGGTCCAGAAAAGTCCAGTGTTCAGGAGGGACGGTGCAGACGTCCACTCTGACCTTCTTATCTCCGTGGCACAAGCTATCCTGGGCGGCACAGCCAGGGCACAGGGCCTTTATGAAACACTAAACTTATCAGTAAGTAGACACGTTCTCCTCCAATCAGAATATGTTTTTAAACGCATGCAGTGTGACGTTTTTTTAATTCTTTGTTCTTGTCTTCAGATCCCTGCGGGCATCCAGGCAGACCAGAGGATTCGTCATTCAGGGAAGGGGATCGCTCGAATCGGTGGTTATGGCTACGGAGACCATTATGTCCATGTCAAAATAAAAGTACCCAAGTAAGACTCCTCATAGTTCATCTGTCTCATCCAGTAACATGTCTACTACTGCATTTATACAAGATGGAGGACATGAGAGGTCCTTGTAATTGAAAACAATGACTTGCTGTAGTCTTGAAGAAAGGGGATAAGAACTGTTTCCTAATTCAGAGATCCATAACCAATTGTTTTCCTGTGCAGGACGCTGACTGACCGACAAAGAACTCTGCTAACAAGCTACGCAGAAGACGAGACGGAAGTAGAAGGGACGGTGAATGGAGTCACTAACACCACCACAGGTTAGAGCCGTGGTTCTCAAACTTTTTACAATAAAACACCCCCTGATTAGCGCAGAAACTATTTGTTAGGGGGAAAAAGCGGTTCTAGGAGTAATGGAATGTTGCCGGTTCTAGTGTTAAAAACAGAAATGTTGAATATAAAAAATGTTTTTTACCGAACTTGAATTTACATTTATTATAGTATCATTATTTTAGAAATTATGCACGACTGATGGTTTTTTAATAAAAAATCTCACGTACCCCCTGCAGTACTCCAACGTACCCCTAGGGGTCCGCGTAGCCCCATTTGAGAACCCCTGGGTTAGAGGACCACCAAACTCACTCTGCGTTCACACCAGCCTTGTATAGTCCGGTTGAATCGAACCCTGGTGCGTTTAGCCGCTTGGTGCGGTTCATTTGGGTCGGTGTGAACACAGTCCAAGACCTCTTAAGTGAACTAAACAACCGGACTCTGGTCCGCTGAAATAGGTGGTCTCGGAGCGCTTGCTTGCGAACTCTGGAGCGGTTCATTGCTGGTGTGAACGCAGTTCGCACCAAAACATAGGAAGCGTAGTATTTACGTGTCACAAGAACGCGGATATCTTCAAAGTCTTCAGCGAAAGAGTCTTTCAAGACATCCGCGGTTGTTTAGTTAAAGAGTGAAGCAGAATGAAGTGTTGAACAGTGTCGTGTAAAGTATTCTCCGTCAACTACATCAAAGTAAGAACACCTGTCGTCGGTGAAACGCCCCCCATACTGCAGAACGTCTCTCATTATATGTGTTATAATGTTTTTTAACGAACGTTGTCTTATTATATAATCATATGCGCGGGCCACTAGTGTCTGTTGATCTCCAGATTAACAGCAGCATGAGAATAACCTGCCGAAAGTGCTGATGCTCCATGGCGGAGGCTCCGCTAGAAATTGCCGGGATTTGCGTTTTTAACCCCCTTAATGTCTGACCAATGGTTGAACAGCATTTCCGAGCACATGACTTGTGTTTAAAGTTTATAGTCCGTTTGAGTTTTGCCCATGTGAACGCAAACCGAACCTTCTGAAAAATGAAACAATGTAACAAACTGTCGTCTGGTGCGCACCAGAGAGCGGACTATTAGGTGTGACTGCACCCAATACAAAGGGAGTTTATTGGAATGACCACATTTTAAACATAGTATAGAGTGACGCGTCCTAAATCCCGGAAGTAAACTCCTTCCGGTTCCTTCATCAAAAAAGCAATGGGATTTCTCCATAGGATTTTGGAAAATAGCTGGAAATAAGGTCTGTGGTTGACACACATTCAAGAGACGGATCACGTTTTGTTCAGCCGGATAATCTCCACATGTCTACCCTACTTTTATAATTTTCGAATCATAAATCTAGTCACCAGAAGCAAAATGCTAACGTTATGCTATAAACGAACTACAGCAGGGTCGCTGCTTCAACGTCACGCCAACTTAAGATCCATATTCAAAACTACTGATTCAAAATTGTACAAGTTGAAGCGTTTGTTTGAACAGTTTGCAGGAGGCAGGTACTTGCTTTCAAGCAGAACACGGGGAAAAACAAACTTAGCGGGAGTGCTTACGTGTTCGGTGTAATGACGTACAACGGCCTGGACAACTACTGTAGTCCTATTCAGCCACATGTTAACAACCATCGTTTTTCAGACACGTAAACTCTTCAAAAATCACCAGCGGGGTCACTGCTGATGTATATAATGTCGTAGAACTAAACGTGATCTGTCTCTTCAATTTGTGTCAAACACAGACCTTATTTCCAGCTATTTTCCAAATTCTATGGAGAAATTACATTGCTTTTTGGTGAAGGAACCGGACGTGGTAAAATGCTAACTTACTTCCGGGTTTTAGGACGCGTCACTGTGGCACTCTAATTGCCAAAGCATTCCGCACAAGGCGTTATAAGGGAACAAAAACAAAGAAACACTAAACATAAAGTGGCACAACAGAAAAACCCAACTCATAAACTCTAACCCTATCGCTGTCCCTGGAGTCTTGCTGTTTTGCTTGATATACGTCTCTGATTGGCCAACATGGGTATTAAGGAAGTTGTATTTAGTGGTAAGCCTAGCTGATTTAGTGTTAATCTCTGTCCAGGTGGGGGCAGCAGTGATAAGCGGTCTGAGACAGGGCAAAGCGAGAAGGAAGGAGAGTTGAAAGAACAGAGGGGCTTCTTCTCCACATTAAAGAAATTGTTTAGTGCCTCCTGACAGCCACAAACCAGGTAGGACTAGTATTGATTAATCCCAAGTTATTTTTATGTTCAGTTCTGCACAAAAAGAGAGTTATGAAACACGTGCTGCAGCTTCTCTGGATAACTTTTCATTCTCTGGTTTGTGGCTGTCGCGTACAAACTGTGAATCCAATCTGATGGCCTACAAGTATTTTTTGATTTGTTATTCCTCAAACTGGAACTGCTTTACCGGCTCATTTTTAAAAAGCTCCATTTACTAAGAGTTAATTTAACAATCTTTTTTCCCTACTTTAAGGAAAAAGGTCATCCTATAACTGAGAAGCTTCATCAGTCCATCAAAGGACAGAAGAGCGGACTACATAAAGCAAACACAGCTCATATTAAAGAAACAGGTGTTTGAGGACTAGTGGGTGTTGGATAAGTCCTGAAAAGGTTTTGGACAGATCAGTAAAAACCTACATACCCAGACCCTGCAAAAGACGGAGCATCACCTGCTGAATCCACATACAAGAGGAGGTTCCAATGTGCCGTTAGGACAAGTGTCCGTCGTGTTCATTTGGGCGGCAAAGACTTCTTTAAAATAGCATTCATGTCTCGTTGGTTTTCTGTTGATCCACATTAAAAGATATTATAGTGATAACAGAATTCAGGTGCACAGAAATTAAGTGGTGTATTGACAAAGATTTAATCAAAAGTTTTTATTATGAATTAAATCGACCCCGTTATTTGTTCGTTAAGCCTTGATTAGGTTTCATTAATGCTCCAATTTCCTCCACAATTCACAACACTCTATGCTAGCAAGTTGAACATCACGTCAGTCATGCTCTCATGGTTTACCTATAAGTTGAAGTGTTTGAGAAAAGGTGTGTCTGCAATGGAAGTAGAAGTTTGGCTCCTGAACTATGAAAACCAAACTGTCCCACCTTTAACACTTTGAATTATGTCGTTTGTACATATAGTTGTGTAACCTACAAGAGAAATACTGTACATTATAATAAAGATATGGTCTGGGAAAAGCTTCTGTTTTAAATCACCACCACAGAACATTTGTTTGAAACGAGTAATATATTTCTTTGATACATATTTTGTTCAACCATTAAGATATAATGCAGTAAAAACCACTTAAGTGTCCCTAAGTGAGTCCAAAGCTAACGGAGGTAGATCAGATCATATTGAATTGTTAGTGTATCTAGTAAACTTACCTGCATTTTCACTTTTAAATACAAATATTATTATATGACCATTACCTCAAATGAAAAGGACACCTTTTTATATTGGATTTAAATTTAGTTTTTCTATTAATGAAAATTGTTATTTAAATTCAGCAGTTCCTCCGAGAAAAGTGTAGTCTTTTCAATAGCTTCCATGTCATTTAAGCTAATGACTGCAAATGCAGAATTGTATATCTACATTGGAACAGTAGGACTTGCATCTATTTATTTTCTGGAGTAACTGGGTCTCATGACATGAAAGCTTTTGAAACATTACATTGCATTTAGCTGACGCTTTTATTCAAAGCGACTTACAATAAGTGCATTCGACCAAGAAGACAGAATCATATAAGTACATCAGGTTTCATAGAGCCAAAACATTTCAAGTGCTACTCAACTGGCTTTAGATAAGCCAGTCCTTTATTAGTATATAAGTGCTTAGTTAGGAATGTTATTTCCTCAAAGTGGAGTCGAAAGAGACGAGTTTTTAGTCTGCGCCTGAAGATGTGTAAGCTTTCTGCTGAAACATGATCTTCTACGAAAATATGTTTTAATTCATTCATGAAGCATCACTAATCATAGTGTCGACGCCTTCATTAGAATAGATTTTTGCATCAATTTAAATAATTGAGACACATTAGCACAAAGAAATTGAAAATAACACTGACTTTGTGTCATTCAGAGTTTAATTTATTGATGGTCCCTTACAGGAAACCTGGTATTAACTCAGATGTGAGCCGACTGTTGACAGTGTCTGTAACTGAGTGACAAGACGCTGCTGGATCACATGTGAATGTCTGTCGAATATCCAACATAAAATGTACTTCTCCAAATCACAAAGTATCTATCCAGTTTTTGGATAGATACTTTTAGATGGATATTTGTACCTGATGATGGTGCTACATAATAATGACACAACATAATCATTAGGACGTGTATTGTTATTATAAAAAAACAAGTACTTTTAATAAATAAACCAGTCCAAATGGATCACCTTTATTTCAGCTTGAGCAGGAAAACAGAATGTATTTCATTCAACAGCCATGGGGTGTCAAACACTATAAAGCGTTTAGATACACAAAGTGATTAGGAGCAGAGTTATTGAAATGCAAGAGAAATCTAAATCAACATGAATTAGTCAAGCATCCCATCTTCTATATCTAAGGTTTAACAATGACCAAAACAACTGCACTTCTGAGATTCAAGTAAGCCTTCCCTAAGTTCGCCCAAAGATACTGAAGCATTTTGACACTGGCAAAAATGTAATTAAATAAAACATGGACCATGAACTACAGGAGTATAACAGTCCAAAGGAAATGCATTGTATTTCCACCTGACTACAACATGAACCTGAGACGCTCAGATAAAAAACACTATCACTTGGGATACATGCCAGGTCAAATCTGAATGACTGCTAGTTAAAGAATACTGTACACCATACTGTACATCATGTGCAAACACACACACACACACAGGAACCTGGTAGACATTTTGTTTTAAGCAGGTTTCCGTTGACACTGTGCGTCAAACATCTTTAAACTACGAAAAGAACAAACAGCTTGGAAGATGATGCCAAGTTAATAAAATGTCATTAATGTGTCAGGATAATTAGTCAACTTCAATTGCAGAACAGTGCAATAACACTGCATACAGTACACAAAGCACAATATGTTCCTCCTTATCCATGTTGCAATGAGCATTACTTGGAATGGTGTTCCAAAAAAATAGAGCACAAACAAAATGTGACTTTGTTTTAGTGATGATGCATACTGGCGTATCCATAACAAATGGATGCTTACACAACAGGTGAGCAGCTGAAGGACCTAACCTGCAGTTCCTGTAGTTCATAATAAACCTTAACATCTTTAGCCTTCAGACTTAACCATTATCATATTCACCTTTCCTATGATTTAAGCTTCCGTGGCAGGTCAAACTGAATCATCGATTAATACTTCATCTTGAACAGTTAAGCGATGCATTCAAACAAACATCAGGCAGTTTTTGTTTATAAATACAAGATGATTTGAACATGCATTAGTAGAGTCCATTTTCAGGTGTATTCACTCGTGTCCAATCATAAGCTTGTCAAAGTTGTGCTATTCTTTTAAGAATTAGGTAAACTTGTAGAAACATTGGAGGCCATTTTTGGATAATTAGATGAATTAAAAAGAAAGAATAACAACAGTGCGATGCACTGCGTTTCACATTGTCTTTGGAACTTCAATTCATGTCGGGAAGTACAATTTGAGATCTTTTATTGCACCAACACAAAGATCTCATTCAAAACCACCACAGCAGTCTGCCCAGCAAGACCACACTGAGCCATTAAACTCATTCATAACATGTGCATAGTATGTTGTGACATGTTTCCTCTACGCTCGCCATGAGAACTTTGGATAATCTCTTCATCATTACTAACTCATTAATCACTATAGAGCCAATTTAAGGGGCAGTATCTAAAATATATATTTTTTACATCTGGCAGTTTCATTTAAAATTGGGGACAAATCAATATTAGTGTGCTTCCATGACAAAAGGAGAAAGGAGCTTCAGAATATCTACAGATAGGACAAAACTCGTTGGAGGGACAGTTCAGAGGAGGTAGCACATTTAAAAGAATAGAGGATACATTTTCACAAGTCGTAGCTTGATGGATGGATGGAGATGGATATTTATGGTCATTATATCAGAATTCCAAGGAACAGATCCAATTCCTTTAAGTAACATTAAATAAGCCTGGACCCGTTCAGAATGTTTGTAAGAAACTAGGAAATGGTCAACAACCTGAGGGATTTTTTTATTCCCCTTACTGTCCTCCCTTTTTTCTCGTTGTTCTCCCAGCAGCACGGTGACGGCAGCATCACATCAGATACCAGGCAGCAAATCCCGCCAGAGCAGCAGCAAGAGCAGCGCACAGGACCTGTCCCGTCGGGTGTCGCAGTACGGCCATGGCGAGCTGACAGGCGTATTCTGATCCGCCCGCCGCCGCTGTGACACAGAGAACAAGCTTACCTCATCAAAACTTTTTTTAAAGCTTTTTCATGGAAAGAATTCTGCAAAGAGAAATGTAAAAGCATACCCATTTTGGCCGAATAGTAGGGACATTTGCTGATGTCTCCGCCCATTGCTCCATGGACGGGCATGCCAGCATCTAAAACATCCTCCTGGATGGTTTTACCAATCTCTTCCAACTCATCGAACACCTGCCAGCACAAACATAAAGTGTGTTAAGCTTGTTGAACACCCAATAATCAAGAAATTGTTCATGAATTAAAAAAATAGCAGACAGCCTGTGAATTAACACCTGAACAAATCAAAGAATCATCATTAACCACACACTGATGAAATTCAATACTGCAACAAAAGCCAATTACACCCTGAGCTCAATAAAGTACAATATATAGATTCTTTGGACAACGATACAATACGTGCTGTTATCGCAGGCTGCCATACAGTTTGTCCTGCATTTGATATGATTATATAACATCCTTATGCTTGTTTAACACAATTAGTTACATTTATATCCATTTAGAAAGAATTGAAGGGAAAAGACCACCCACTAGTGCAGGGGTCTCAAACTCAAGGTCCGGCCCGCGACTTGATTTTATGTGGCCCCGCAAGAGCTTGCAAAGAATATAATACGTTTATTATACGGTTACATGCCACTTAACAGAAGCAGGTTTTGCAAGCTCTTGCGGGGCCACATAAAATCAAGTCGCGGGCCGGACCTTNAAGGCTTTGTGATTGTGTGTGTGTGTGTATGCAGGGGCGCCGTAAGGGGGTGAAAGATTAGGACGATTCTAAAGGGCCTGTGACTGACAGGGGCCCAAACTATTTTAGAGCATTAAGAAAAAAATGTTTAAGTAACCAATGTGATTATCTTTTCATGGGGCCCAAAATCCCTGGCGGCGCCCCTGCATGTGACCACCATTTGAATGTCTACATTGGCTTCCCATCCAATTTAGGATCCGTTTAAAGATTCTTGTTATCATGTTAAGAACCTTGCATGATCAGGATCATGCCTCCTAAAAGCCACCACCACCTCTGCTACATAGCAGCAACACAAACAGACATAGTGGTCAAGTCTCCTTTTGTTGTTGTTGTTGTCTATCTCTTTGTGTTTGTTTGTCCTATATTTTCATTGTTTCAGGGTCATTCCAGAATTGGAGGACAATTTGACACCAACATTTTTGAAAAATGAACCTTTTATTTTATAATGTTTTTTTATGTATTTAGGAAAAACAGATAATAAACAGTGATTTGCCCAGCTTGGCATCAAATGTATATTTTCCAATGAAGAATTACCCCTGTTACTCTAATTATAGTAACAGGGTTGAAAGTAACAGGGTTGAAAATCAATACTAATTTGAGCCTTTAACCTCAGGAATTATTGCTAGATGTAGCATGTAATGCTACTTTCCAAGGCAATGACAAACTTGGATATCTAATGCAAGAAAGATAATTTTGAAATTAATATGCTTTATTCTGGTAATATCAGTAACAGGGTTGAGTGGGTCAGAGTGCCATACTCTTTTACGACTGAAAATATTGTAAAAATATGAAAAATAAAAGAGAGGACTTAGTTTTGGTCTACCCATGGCACTAGCACATGGCTTGCTGATGTCACTTCCACTGTGTCATCTGAGTTACAGTTTGTTCACTTCCTGTGCCAATCTAAAAAGGTTTCGATAACAGGGTTGAACGCATGTTGAGGGACACACCTTCTGTGCAAAATTACTGTTATTTAAAATATGTTTATGATTTAACAAATTGATTTTACCTTTACAAGAGACATATATCAATAGAATAATACCAAAAAATGTAAATAAAATCCCTATTTTAAATGTTATATTTGACATGCAAGTTGGTCACCAAGAAGCGGGGACAAGAGAAAAATGCCATTTTAGGGGATGTTCGAGAGCTATTTGATCATTTAAATAATATTTTGAAACCACTTTTTCTACAATTTTCTACACATTTTGTCTCAAGACAAGTATGTTTAACACAACAAGTGCATGTTTTAGCATTTTGGGCATGGATTATTAGATTTTTTATATGGGGGACATGAAATGTCCTCCAATTCTGGAATGACCCTTAAATCAAACTTTATTTAGACATCACTTTTCATACACAAAAGATAACACAGAGTGCTTCACAAGCCAAACAAACAAACAAAAGAAGATGTCAAAGTATTTTCATTGTAATTGTTAGTGTCTTTATTGTTTTTGTTTGTGTCTCTTTGTGGTTGTTTTGCCTATTATCATAGTCATTGTGAGTGTGGGTTTGTCTCTTTGTTGTCTTTTCGTCTCTCATTGTGATTATTTTGCCCTTTCATAGTTCTGAGTCTCTTTGTCGCTTCACAGAAACACATGATGTCCTGGTGGGTACGTTTTGTGCTCCTGATATTATAATTGCATTATCCATGGTTGTTACTGATAGCAGGCATTAGAAAAAAGGAGACTTTTGAAGTTGTAGCTTCTTTTTTTTTAAACTCTTTCAAATTTGGACTTTTAAAACGCAGCTAAATACCAGTTTTTGCTGAGTAGTTTCTTTTGTATGTGTTAATGTTTATGTCTGCATTGTATCCTAGTGGTATAGGCAGAAGAATTAGCTGTCCTCAGCATTTCCTGCAGCAGAGAAGCACCTGACAGCAGCCGGGAGGGGGCGGGGCTTACAGTGAACACAGATGAGTGGACGTACAGTTCCGTGGCGTCCTGGATCCAAGCCTGATTTTTACTTAACCGGACTGCTCTGCACTGTAGTGGGGTGAAGGTTTGTAACGTCAATATGATACCAAAGCAATGTAACCCGTTAATATATAATTTCATCTGTGACTAAACGTGTCGAGACTGCATTGGAATGTAACGCCGCTTGTCAAAAGAATCTCAAGTTTGTTAGGCTAGTTGAAATGCTAGCTAGCTGTTAGCAAAGTTAGCTAGCGTCCTCCAGCAAAGTTAGCTGTTGTTGTCAAAATGATGCTCCGAGCAAGTTAAATGACGTTACCGCCAGGAATACCAAACATGGCATGTGTTGCGTATCTCGATGAAAGATGGCTTTAGATAATGATTTCTGATCACATTGAGACACTGAAATGTTTTAAATCGCTTTATTAACTCGTTTATCACAACACCAGCTGCATTTGTGAGTTAAACGCCAGGAGGCCTGTGCTGCGTTTTAGTGGATGGGCTGATTTATGTCTGTATTTTTGTTCACGTAGTTGACGCCCTGGTGTTGTTTTAAGCATTTCCTAACAACTTTCAGTTGCATATTGCCTTGAGTAAATGAGGTGGATGCAGCTAAATTAAGGTAACTGGCAGAAGAAGCTTTTATTTGACAATCATCTCCGGAACAATAGCTGCAGTGAAACGGTTTGGGGAGATATTAGCCCCCCTTTTTCTTATTAGACCTCTACTGCTTTAAGGGTAAGAGATTAATAAATATTGTTGTTGAATAAACATTGCTGAATCTGAAATGAAAGCCTTCATTTGATGATTATGGACCTGATGATTAGACTTTATTAATCTCAAATTGTTTTTATTTTATATTGAAAGGCAGTAAACTGTCATAGTGTTCGTCATCATTATGTTGTTTTTACAAATGATTATCAATGCACTGTAAATGTTGCTCCAGTGTGTTGTTATTGTTTTGTTACACAATCCCTCAGATCCCTGAGCCTGATATTGTTTCCTTGTTTATCCAAAAACTGTTGTGCAATCTTGACCCAAGTGTCATTACGACAGCAGTTACTTGGCATAGGTCATACTAATAATACATTAAACACAATTTAATATTGTATATGCCCTTACCACAACTGTACCAATATACTAAAAATATATTTGTCAAGGTTTATTTGTGATTAAACTTATATATGACTGATGCCATATAGTTTGATTGTAAATATGATGTTGATTTTATATATTTGACTGATTATAGGGTGAACTAACTGGCAGACAGGAACACTGCTGATGTCAGCAGACAAGATGGCGACAACAGCTAGTGCAAATGGAGCAGGGCCTGTAAATGAAGGAAAGGACACCCTCAGGTTAGTCTCCCACTAATGTTCTAACACAATTACCTTTTTGAAAGAGTGAAATATGATTATAACCATGTTTGTTGTTGTGATCTTGTCAAACGCTAAAATACAAAAAAAATTCCCCCCCCAAGTCCTGAGGATCTGTCTGAGCTGCTGGCAGCAGGGACCAAGGAGGTTCACGAGAAGGCCGAAAACACACAGTTTGTGAAAGACTTCCTCAAGGGTCGCATCCGCAAAGAGCTTTTCAAGGTCAGAAAAAAGAAAATCAGAAATAAAAATACAATATTTGTAGGTAAATCAAAAACTGTAAGTACTATTGCTTTTGTTCTTGCTTCCCTAGCTTGGTGCCGTTGCTCTCTACTACACCTATACCGCCATGGAGGAGGAGATTGAAAGGAACAAGGACCACCCCCACTTTGCCCCCCTATATTTCCCTACAGAGCTGCATCGCCGCGAGGCCCTGGCCCGTGACCTTGAGTACTTTTACGGGCCTGACTGGCAGAGCGAGGTCAGCTGCTCCCCGGCCGCCCAGCGCTATGTGGACCGTATTCATGAAGTAGGGCAGGAGGACCCCGTGCTGCTGGTGTCCCACGCTTACACCCGCTATATGGGTGACCTGTCAGGGGGCCAGGTGCTGAAGAAGGTGGCGCAGAGAGCCATGAAGCTGCCGCCCACAGGGGAGGGCCTGGAATTCTATACGTTTGATGGCATCCATAGTGCCAAAGAATTCAAGCAGCTCTACCGTAGTCGGATGAACGTGCTGGTTCTGGACGGGGATACAAAGAAGAGGCTGGTGGCCGAGGCTGTCAAGGCCTTCCAGTTCAACATGGAGGTGAGAGGCCAGGGACAAGGAATGGTGGTTGGAGAGATAGAGAAAATAAGAAATGTTGGCTATGTCTGGAAACATTAGTGCAGGGGTGTCAAACTCAATTTCATTGCGGGCCACATTTGCATAAAGGTTGCACTCAAAGGGCCGGTTGTAACTATATAAATATATAATATATACAGTGGGGCAAAAAAGTATTTAGTCAGCCACCAATTGTGCAAGTTCTCCCACTTAAAAAGATGAGAGAGGCCTGTAATTTTCATCCTAGGTATACCTCAACTATGAGAGACAAAATGGAGAGAAAGAATCCAGAAAATCACATTGTCTGATTTTTAAAGACTTTATTTGCAAATTATGGTGGAAAATAAGTATTTGGTCAATAACAAAAGTTAATCTCAATACTTTGTTATATACCCTTTGTTGGCAATGACAGAGGTCAAAGGTTTTCAGTAAGTCTTCACAAGGTTTTCACACACTGTTGCTGGTATTTTGGCCCATTCCTCCATGCAGATCTCCTCTAGAGCAGTGATGTTTTGGGGCTTTCGCTGGGCAACACGGACTTTCAACTCCCTCCAAAGATTTTCTATGGGGTTGAGATCTGGAGACTGGCTAGGCCACTCCAGGACCTTGAAATGCTTCTTACGAAGCCACTCCTTCGTTGCCCGGGCGGTGTGTTTGGGATCATTGTCATGCTGAAAGACCCAGCCACGTTTCATCTTCAATGCCCTTGCTGATGGAAGGAGGTTGTCACTCAAAATCTCACGATACATGGCCCCATTCATTCTTTCCTTTACACGGATCAGTCGTCCTGGTCCCTTTGCAGAAAAACAGCCCCAAAGCATGATGATTCCCCCCCCATGTTTCACAGTAGGTATGGTGTTCTTTGGATGCAACTCGGCATTCTTTCTCCCCCAAACACGTCTAGTTGAGTTTTTACCAAAAAGTTATATTTTGGTTTCATCTGACCATATGACATTCTCCCAATGCTCTTCTGTATCATCTAAATGCTCTCTAGCAAACTTCAGACGGGCCTGGACATGTACTGGCTTAAGCAGGGGGACACGTCTGGCATAAACTGCAGGATTTGAGTCCCTGGCGGCGTAGTGTGTTACTGATGGTAGCCTTTGTTACTTTGGTCCCAGCTCTCTGCAGGTCATTGACTAGGTCCCCCCGTGTGGTTCTGGGATTTTTGCTCACCGTTCTTGTGATCATTTTGACCCCACGGGGTGAGATTTTGCGTGGAGCCCCAGATCGAGGGAGATTATCAGTGGTCTTGTATGTCTTCCATTTTCTAATAATTGCTCCCACAGTTGATTTCTTCACACCAAGCTGCTTACCTATTGTAGATTCAGTCTTCCCAGCCTGGTGCAGGTCTACAATTTTGTTTCTGGTGTCCTTTGACAGCTCTTTGGTCTTGGCCATAGTGGAGTTTGGAGTGTGACTGTTTGAGGTTGTGGACAGGTGTCTTTTATACTGATAACGAGTTCAAACGGGTGCCATTAATACAGTTAACAAGTGGAGGACAGAGGAGGCTCTTAAAGAAGAAGTT